TTTGACCAATCAGAGGCATCCTGTCTGCGGTCACCTACAATTTTGGAGAGGTGCACAAAAGTGTCTGCGGAAGGGGCGGAGACGTCTCTGCGTTGACCATGACACCTACGCAGACAACCTAGTTTGGAAGTATTAGGCAGATATTCTCCAACTGCTTGTTTTAACAGGTCATGGAGGGAAGCTACTGCTTAGCAGAAATAAGAAAAATGAGAACCCAGAGATGCAATTTATGCACAAAAATGAAAAGTTGTTTAAAGTGATGGGCTGGGCATTTACTGTGTTTTTTTTAACATTGTTGTTATTATAATAAATAAGGGGAGTGGTGGCCTATTAGTTAGGGCATATAGCTTGGAATCCTGAGGTTCTGATTTCAAATGCCACTCAAGGTCTCTGATTAAGACCCTTATCCCCCAATTTCTCCCCTGGCACCTGACAATGACAGCCCACTGCTCCCCGAGGGGATGGGTTGAATGCAGAGGTAAATTTCTCCAATGTGAGATCAATAAAGTTATTTCTTGTCATGATAGGAGTTTTGATTAATTATGGCAAACATTGAGAAAGTAATCTTATAAATTTACCCCCAAAACTGACATAGTTGTCCAATTTCTTAACTATTCTGTCCACTATTTTTTTTATAACTGCAATTTATTTATTGTTTTTTATTATTAAAGTTTAGTGTGGCTGTAACTGGTGTACTAAAAACATTTTTATAAATGGTTGTTTTTCAGTGTGATCATGAGGCTGGGGTTTATGTGTTACTCAATCACATGCATTTACCTAAAATAAACAAAACAGTTTGTATTTTTATACAATCACATGAATTATTATCACAACAGTATCAAGAAATATCATGATGAAATTTTGGCTCTATTTTCTCACCCCTGTTTGCACATGTTGGTGCAACTGGAGCTAAAAGTTGATCTAGACTCTGTCTGCCTGAGTAAAGCTTTAAGAAATCACAAATAACTTAGTGAGTAATAATTATTCATTAGTGCACACTGCCCAGGAGTTTCCACCTCTCACCGGATTGTCAACAGAAAATTACCAATTACAAATAGAGAAATTCACAACCAATACAAGTTCAGGGGTTGTAAAGAAACCACTATATCAATACCTTTGTCCTCCCTCTAATCAGAGACCATTTATTCAGCAGGTACCACTTATCTTTGAGGAGGAAGGAACTGACATGATGAGAAAGATGCCAGATTCATGGAATCAAACAGTCAAGTCTACGTTACAGACCTGATCAACCGAAACAAGAGATCTGAGATCAGTTTTCTGTTTTAATTCTCTTAAAGATAGGGTGTGTAGATCACACATCGGGAAACCATCTACCAGAGATTTTCCCTTTTTTATTACAGGTTAGATCCATTACAGAAAATGCCCTGATAAAGCCAGTTTGTCACCATTTTCTCTGTAAATGTGTCAGAAAAGTGTTGTCAGATGTAAAGAAGTGAGTCACTTCAAGGAGGTTATTTTGGGTTTGGTTGAGCCTTCAAACAGTCTGCTAGGATGATGAAAGACTGGCAGCTAGCTTTGTTCCAACCTCCGTCAATCACTGTCTACAAAACTCTGCTGTTGCTTTAAATTCAAAGACTTATAAAAGTATATATATATATATATCCCTTTGAGAAGTCACTTTATTGGTATTTCAGAAATTTTGTCTTAAGTGAGCAAATTTATTGAATTTGCAAAAAAAGAGGATAGGGTCCAAGATTCAAAAAAAGTTTTTTTATTTATTTAAACTAATAAAATTCCATAAAAAGAGGAATTATTTGCCTTTAGCTTCTTTTATAAATTCTGTTTCATCTAGTAATCAGTTTTTATAGTCATTGTGAAGCAGCCGTTCCAACCGTTTCTCTCGAATTCTCCCGATTGGTTCACGACTTTACACAATCGAATAAAGTGAATTTGATTGGTTGTTGATCAAGAGGATTGATGTGGCGGACGTTTGATTTTAGTCGGTTTGTCTGAAGCATCTTGCTAACCAGTTAGCAACTTAGTGCTAGAAGGTTCCCAATGAGAAATTCCATTGGGACCAAGTAGCACTAAATTGTGACAATGTCCAGCAGAAACATGCAAGAGGAGGAGAGTTTTGTGTCGGAGGTAGTGGATGAGTCTCCTCTGTCCTATGTTTTTTATTTAGAGGAGGAAAGTGGAGGAGAAGATGTGGAAGAGGACGCCAGGGCGGCAGAAGCTTGGTTTGGTGTAGAAGGCTTACAGCCGTACATGTTTGAGCCCTTGCCTCGCAACGCCACCAGTTGTGTTAACTCTACGCCTGCTGAAGACACAGACGTCCAATCCCGTGAACACTGGGACGGAACTCAACGGGAAAGTAAATGATTCTTAGTTTTTATTTCAACCATTGCGTATATTAGCTGCGACATATGAATCAAGATGCTATGACCGAAAGAATTCGATTGACAGATGACCGTTTTATATGATTGGCCGAATTTAAGTGTACAGGCTGACGTATAACTAACTGGCCTGCATAAGATAACGGGGAAAAAAACACAGATTTTAAGACAGGGTTTCTTTGCTTTTTTTCTAAATTTTAAGATAATATCGTCTGATAAAGAGTACATTTATATACATGTTTAAGCCAGAATTATTTATCATTTAAACATGACTTACTTTAATAATTAAGTGATTTCTGAAGTTCAATTAAAGGATTTCACTGACCTTTGGATTAAAATTCAGATAACTTTTTCTTTTTAGGTTTATTTCTTTGCTCTACTTTGAAGTTTGAAGAACACCTGCTTGCTTCTGATGATTTCCTTTAGCTAACCAATGAGTGTTTGCGTTATATGACTCATCCAATCACACTTGTTTTCACTAGATGTGGATGGCGCCAATGATCTGCATTGGATGGCGCACATGACGTGAAATAAATATTAATAAACATTAAACCGAAGCATTTACGTTTCTTTTAAAAATGTAAGGAATAGAAAGTACAGATACTTGCGTGAAAATGCAATGAGTAGAAGTCAGAAGTAGGAAGAAAAATAAGTAATGGAGTAAAGTATAGATACCTAAAAAGTGTACGTAAGTACAGTGAGTACTTGTAACCTCTGGTTAAAAATAGCATGATTCAAGAGGAAAGCAACATCTGACAAGCAGAACCTCCCGAAAGAAAAAAAAGCATGACAATGCCTGTCTGACAGACATAGATGTGGGACAGCGCTGAAACAAAGCCAGCAGCTGTGGTCACACATCACCGTGTAACTCCACCTCCATTTGTTGACCCATGTTTCTATGTAACTTCCTTCTTCCACTTCAGCCAGCTGGAGTGGGATGTCTGTCCAGATCAGATCGTATTACAGCAACAGATGGTGGACCATCCGGGAGGTGGTGGTCAGGGGCGGAGCTAGATGGGGGGCCAGGGGTGGCCATGGCCACCTGTAGCCAATCAATCGCCAACCCTACCATTTATTTCCCTCTAATACAGATGGTGGTGGCATAATACTCTCCAGTGGAATATTCAAAACATTTTTTTTTTAGTGGTTAATTATACACATCAATATACTAGCATCAAAGATGATAAGTACAGAATTCATGCTCTTTTCAGAACTAGATTTTGTGTTTTATGGGGTAAAGTCATCTAGGAATCTTCAGTGAAATCAGAGATAAATAACAATTTCAATAAAATCTTATCAAATAATAAATTTATGTAGATATTAGTTCTTTTACATATCAATTTTATGCAGAATGTTTGTCGATACAAGTAGGTAAGTAATGACAATGATGATTGATTTACGCCCCAGAACTCAAAACTGAGTTTTATCCACTATAACTTTTATTTAGAAATTACATAATAATGTAATATCATTGTGCGTTTTATTTGTGAAACAACAGCAGTAGAAATAGAAAAGTTGTACTCCACCTATTCCTATTAAAACCTAATTCACTGAAAAATAATAATACCCCTACGTTATCGATTCTGAAAGGCTCTACATCAAAAAAATACTGCACAAAATCAGTGCAATACCTCGGCTCCAGAGTGTCGCCGTCACCGCCCCCTCCACAGACGCTCCGCTGCACCTCTCCTAAATTGTGGCTGACTGCAGACAGTGCCACAGACAGGAGGCCGGCTTGTTTTGTTTTTATGACCGAAATTTGTGGAAAAGATCAAGGGTGCGAGAATGCTGGGACCCTTTTTCCCCCCTGGATTCCCACTCTTTTTGGCCCTCATGTCCCTCTGTTGTCAGACTAAACTCGCCCCCAATCCCTCACCACCTCGGCCGTATCTAGACCCACAGCGTATAGCCCAGACCACGCTTCAATATTTAGCATAAATCAAAAAAATTTCTGCGTCAAGCTCACTGTGACACACTGCTGTAAGAGTATAGCCAGGAAGCGAGGTAGGAGGGCAAAATAGGTTTAGCGCCACCGCAGCACAGGAGGGAGAATTACGCCCAGGAGCAAATGGATAAAAATAGACCGGAGGGAAAAAAAACATCCATCGATTCTCTCGCAGACGTCTCGATGCATCGGATCGTCGGCTGTTGGGTCGATGCATCATACAAAACAATTAATTATTATTTACCCCCCTAATGGATGCATGGATGGAATTGAAGTAGTGTCCATACTAGGGATGCATGATGTATTGCTGTTTGCATTGATTTCTGCTGTTATTCGTCATTTTTTATACATTCATGTTTTTGTGCCCTTTATAAACAATTCACTAAAGGCAGGCATCTGTCTATAACTATAAATATCAGTGTATTTTGGTTCTCTTGTGTTCTCAACAATAGGAAAGCATTCAATAAATATATGTTTCAGCTCATTTTTGGAAAATATAAACCCTACTGAAATTGTTCGGGTGGAGTAGCTGTAGGTCCATCAGCCTTAGAGTCTCCCCACCAACTTTTATCACACAGCCACCCTTATAAAAAGTTCCTGGTTACGCCTCTGGTGGTGGTGGTAGGGTTGATGGGTTCATGGCTATATAATGTTAAAAGACATGAAGCATTACATTGTATTAAAGTATATAGGCATACCTCCTGCATGCGCCTTTTGGCCGCCTCCTGTGCGTCATCGTAGCCTTTCTGCCTCAGCTCACTCAGGCTCTCGTAGTACTCCTCCTCCTCCGCGTCGTCGCCCTCGGAGAAAAGCACCTGGGAGAGGATCTTCCAGCCGCAGGCGTCCAGAGCATGACCCAGGTACACCTGCAGCTGGTAGCACAGAGCATCCGTCTCCCGCTGCGTCATCCCCGGAGCCCCGAACAGCACCGTCCACACGCCGGACTGCTCCTCCGGGAAAAGGGGCAAGCAGGGCTCCAGGTCTGAGTTGACGGCGCACAGCTGCTGATGGGCCGCCCGCAGGTCCTGGAAGGAGAACAGGCCGGCCCAGCTGAAGTCCTCCCGGAGGCTGACCTCCCCCTCTGCCGGGTCCTCAGGAGACGATGGGACAGAGTCCAGGATCTCCACATCCTTCGGCGTCACGATATTCCAGGAGCCTAACGTGTGACTGACGCACTCGAATGTCTTTAAGCCATCATCTTTTAGAGCATTCGTGTCTCCTGTGGGTTTAAATTTAACAGCTTGGCGTGTTTCAGCTTTGATCGGAGTTTTAGTTGACGCTGGGGGGCTGCAGTCCAAGTCCAGGAACGCGCTCCGTCTCTGGACGGTTCTATTGTGGCAGGTTATGGCGAACTTTCCCTCGATGTCATTCCAGGCCACGATGAAAACAAATTTATGTCTCTCTTTCTCGTCGAAGACTCGGGGTCGGACCGACACCCATCCGGACTCTAAATTATCCTCCATGGCGAATGACATCTCATCCAGGCACCGATAAACCCCCCCACACAGATGACCGTTTGTTCGGGGATTAAATTAGGCTCTGACGTAGAGGCTAAAAGCTAATGCTAGCGATGGAGCTCGAGGTTCGGTAACAGTTCGGTAAAGCTCCGCGTGAGGGTAGCCAAAAACGCAGTCAACAATTTTATCCCACCGAGCTCGGAGGTTTGCGGTTCAGACATAAGGCTCGAGCTGCCAAAAGATTCACAGACCTGGATTTTTTTAAAGGAGGAAAAACTTGGCTTCGTTTTTCGGCACGTAACGTCTCTTGCCAGGACACCTGGCCGCCATCCTGGACAAAGCTCCGGCTCGCGGTTCGCTCCTTTGTCCGTTCAGACAACACGGTCGTGCGACTCGGATTGCTCTGCTGTGTTGTTCTCTGTGTCACGTGGGAGCTTCTGTTTACAAGCACAAAGTACGTGCGCGTTTAACACTTCCGGGGAGGGACTGGATGCCCCATATGTTATGTTCAGGGTCCACAGTTTTATCGGAAAAAGAACCTTCTGGGCGATTCTCCTACCATATTTTATTATTTTTCACAAAATCCGACAATTTTTTTTTTTGTTGTACTTCATCACAAAATGAAATTACATAACCATCATATATATATATATATATATATATATATATATATATATATATATATATATATATATATATATATATATATATATATATATATATAATATCATATAATATATATATATATAAACATTTTGCATTTAAGATAAAAAAATTTTCGCCTGTCAATATGCTGTATTCAGAACTCCTCAAGTGGAAAAGTTTTGTTTTCAACCGGTTTAATTTCATAAAAAGTTTTCTTTAAGGAAGCTTTGGCTATTTGATTATTAATCAATTAATCGGGAAAAAAATCAATAGATAATCAATTGCAAAATAATTGGAGTTGCAGCCCTAGTATAGATAGAAGTAAAACAGAAAGCTATAGTATCAGACCTCTTTCTGACATTGAATTTTTACTACCAGATTTTAAACGTGGGAAAAGTTATTTATTTATTTATTTTTCCTCTAGGGTGGAAAAATTCAAGAAAAGTTGTATTTGAATTTTTGCAAGCAAATTGTGGCATTTTATTTTTTTGGATTAATTGCTGCTGTGGAAGTTGTTAAGCTGAATTTATACACCTGATTTTATTTATACATGTGAATTTATAGGTGGTGAATAAAAAAATAAGTAAAATAATAAGACATAATTCTAGTGGTTAAAAATTCAGTTACAAATTCAGTATCTTAAAAAAATCTGATTCCATTCAGGTCGTTTTGCTTCCATATATGATATGTATTTTTTTTTTTCTTAAATGTTTCTTATAGGTGTTTATAGTAGAGGTTAAGTTATTGCACTTGTCATTGTTTATGTTCAATAAAAACAGAAAATTATGGTGTGGGGTGGTTTTTTTTTTTTTTTTTTGGCCTTCATATAACCTTGTAAAACTTGAATCTATTCTTTTTATGTACAAACAGGTTGTATCAGGTTTAGTATTTACTGTTACTAAAAGTTTTGCAACAGATACATTGAAAGTGGGCTTTAAACGTTTTTCTCATAGATTAAGTGGCGTACCCCACGTACCTTGAAGGCACCATATGTTAAACGTACTTTTTCGAGGTTAATTAAAAAAAAAGGGTTAAGATTAAACAGCATCTGATCCCAATAAATCGCACTTTACTTCATAAGATTTAATTTCAGAGATATTCCATCTGTTTCAAGCTGCACATTGACTCTTTAAACCTTCCTTTCTCCTCCAGCCGACGTGCACGAGGAGTATAAACATCTACACGTGGGCAAACCCATGACGCAATTACGTACATCACGTACAGGAGGCCATGGTGACGCATATAGCAAGCAGAGAGGGTCAAAACACCTTAAAACATTCGAACATTTAAAATGTTCAAGTTGCATCCGTTTTTATCACACTATTTGAGTTTTTTAGCCTCTGAGCTTATATTTAATTTTTTTGACACCCCCTCCCAAAACTAAATTCTGTCAATTAATTTTATTTTGCAGTTAAAATGGGCAAATTGAAAAGTGTTGATACAGTTCTGTTAATGATGGAGAGTAATGCATTTCCTAACTAATAATCTGTATATATTTATGTCATTATTTATCCTATATTATAATCCCACTAATATATCTATCTAATCCATATCCTAACTTTCTTGAATAATCTGTATATATTGTTTTCATATTTATTTATATTTATTTCATAGCCTCTTACAGTTTCTCTCTCTCTGACTCTTGTGTATATATATATATATATATATATATATATATATATATATATATATACACATTTATAGTCAATACAAACAATCTCTGTACACATGTAAATAAACATGAATATCCTGTATAGTAGTTCTGGATAGATGCAAACTACATTTCATTGTTTTGTACGTGTGACAGTATAATGACAATAAAGTTGAATTCTATTCTATTTTATTTTTTTTATTCAGGGTGTCTGTTGCTTGCATCTAATCTGTCGAAACTTTTTGGAGAATTGAAAATAAATAGAAATTTTTAAAGGGATTTCAAGTATTTGGACACTGCGTATCGTAGTTTTCTAATAGATGGCTATTCTGTTTTTATGCTACATCCATTCTCTGGTTTTGTATTTTTTGTTATTTCAACCCTTAACTTTATGTTCTCTCTGCTTTTTCTTATAATTTTACCTCCATCTGTTCTAGCGATATAAACTGAGCTGCTACAGTCAACTTTCATTAAAGAGTTGGGCCTGTTTTTCAGTGGTTAGTCCCGTTTTTCTATTAAACATTGCAATGGGCTCAGCTTTTACTGTGACTTTGTGTTCACTTTATTCACTTTTTAAATGAAACCCTGCTAATAGTTCATCTGTGAATCATTTTTTCCCCCACCAACAGAACCACCTATGGACCCAGGAAACAGCTACCTTTTCTAACATATTGAGTGTTTTTATGGATCACTGCATCTAAGTCATTTTTCTATGCTTGCTTCTGTCTCCTTGAGCCCACAGTCCACCTCACAGTCCACACAAAACCTGGTCCTGCTGTAGTTTCTTCCTGTAAAAAGGGAGTTTTCCTCTCTACATGCATGCTTGTTAGGAGGGATTGCAGAGTCAGTGATGCACTGAAAGTGAATGTCTGTCACCACATGCTGATCCAGGTAAAGCATTTGCTGCAAAGTCAATAACTGGATGCAATCAACAGGCTTTCTTTAGATAGAAAATTTGACCATTCTGACCGTATTATCTGACTGAACTGTCCCTGTTAAAAGCTTCCAGATCATGTCTTGTGTAGTGGCGACATAAATAAACTGAACTCAAACTGAATTTAACCCACATTAATTACTAAATTTAAATGTTTTGTTTTCCACAGATGGAAAATCAGATGAAGTTAAATAGCACATCTTGCTTTAAAAATGGTATAGGAGCAACACATTTGCACAAAAACGTTCACATGCAGATCTTGGTTCACATGTAGCTTTAATTTGTTCATTTAGTTTCACACATCAGGCATATTTGGAGTGTTATGGCACAAGTTTGCAGCTCTTAGTACAGTAATTTGAAATAGTTTCTTAACAGACTCAAACATCCACACTTTGCTGAACCTTAAAAAATCTTTAGAATTTCATTTTTATGGTTTTCTTCGCACAAAGTAAAACTAGAAACGTCTAAACCTTTAGGGTTTGTAAACTTGAGGGAATGTCACTCTTGTTTTTTTCCTGATATTAATGCTATATCTATGGGGTGACAGGCTGTAGTTGGGTTTAGGGTTTTCCAGTGGCTTTGTCAAAGAGAGCCTTCAGCTCCTCCTTGGAAGTGGCCTCTTTATGTTGGACGAGGTCGGCGTGTCCTTTGGTGATGCCCCAGGCACTGGGTTTGGACATGGATGGACAGAATGGACGTCCAGAGGCAGGCTTCAGGTTCTCCCAGTAATCCCGACGGGCCCTTTTCAGAGAAGCGGTTTAGATTAGTTTATTATTGTTGCAGAAAACGAAGGAGAATAAAACCTCAGAGAAATATCTACCTGGCTCTGACCCATGGCTTCGTATGGAAAGCCAAAGCACTGCCCCATTCGCCGTGCTTCTCTGAGCCAGCAGGCAGGAAACCCCGCTCGGGTCCCAGCTCCTCAGCCACAGCGCGGATGTGATAAGGCTCGAATCCACAGCAGCCGCCAATAAAACGGATGCCGGCTTCGTACGCCTCCCGGGCGTATTTCTGCATCTCCCACCTGGTCAGGATCCTGGGCTCCAAAGCTGCCCAGAAACAAATGCATCAAACCTCAGCTTACATTTCTTGTCAGTATTTCGGTTTGAGGAATAAAATGCTGAAGTTGAAGCGCTCACCAAATGGGAACTCGGGAAGGTCGATGAACCCCTGCCTGTTGCAGTCAGGGGTGTGGAAAGCCAGCGGCTGGCACATATAGTGGGCTTTCAGACCGGCCTTCTCCACTCCCTCCTTCATCAGCTTCACAGTCTTCACGCAGGTCTCTGGGTCAAAGTGGCAGTTGATGCCAACGATCTGTGCCCCTGCAAAGCAAAAGCTGTTACCTATGTGCAAAGTCATATATTTCTAGGGTGGCTTCATGAATGTATTCAAAGAGGAGGCCCCAGTTAACCACTAATAAAGAGATAACAAAATGGTTTAATTGGCTGGTTGGGTAGGACTGGTCCACCCTAGAGGACACAGAACTTCCCGTTTTCTGGCTCTCTATGGTGGACCCTTAAATATTTACCTGCCTCTCTTCAATTAATTTGTGCTTTGGATTAGTGTTATGCATCAGCCTCCAGTTTCATTGTTTTTTCCCTTTTAAATCAGATGATCTCCCATTTTTTCTTAGGCACCCTCTGATAAACAATAAAACTGTTGGATTATATAAAAAGGAGCTGCTAAGCAAAGCTTTTCCAAACCATGACACTGCCACCTCCATGTTTCACAGTCAGGTAAGAGGCTTCTATTTTAATGGAATGCCATTTTTGGTTTACATTTCCTCAGTTCTTATTTCTAAATAAGGAAGTTTTTCATCAATCTGCAGATTATTCAAGATTATTGGGCTACAATTCTTCTGGAAAAGCTATAGTTTGGCCTTTATACGTTTTTCCTCCCGTTTCAGGTCCTAGTAGGACTAATAAAAACTATCTTGCATCGTGTTCTTGGAAAACACTTGTACCATATTTATGTGAAAAGCTAGAACACTTTTTTGAATCAGTTCTTTTTTCACTTCAACAATAAACAGTGCATCAAATTAGAGGTCTGGGATTTAAACTGGGCAAACAACCTTCATCATGATATCATGTGCATCTGATGCAATACACCTGTAAATTTTAGCCATTTAAAGAGGGGAGTACCAGTTAAGCTCTTATAGGAGAAACTTAATGTTTTAAAATGTTTTTACTTACACCTCTTTAGCTGTAATGTTTTGCATGTATGAAAG